CATTTATTTTTTCGCATCATTTCCATCATATCATTCATATTTATTGGACTTTTCTCTACTGTCTCTTACTTATCACCACTACTCGTATTAGCTATACTCTTTTCTACCTTTCGATGACGCTCTGGTTTTTATTTGTCTTTCAGCCATTTTAATTTTTCCTGTCCACGTTGGGCGCCAAAAATTGTGGTCGTTTATTTTTATCAAAATACAATTTATATAATATTTCATCAATAAAATAATCATCAATAAATGTAATAAAGTTTTTTTTGTACTCATAGCATCTAGATACCTATTTCCAGGACAGAGAGGACGTGCGGGAAACGCGTTTTCCCGCACAAATGCTTTTTGTTACCGCAACTAACAGGAATATTTACTTTTTAAGAGTAAAATAGCGACGAAAGTTAAGAAGAAGATAGAATCTAATGGCTTTCCATAAATCCATCTCCGTCTGACTTTCGATGGAAGAAAGAACATTAAACAAAAACGTAAAATATATAAACAAAAACGTAAGTAATTAAATTTGTATTAAGATTACACATCAATAAAATTATTCCTGATTAATTATTTTTCAGGAGACGTTGAAGAAACAGTGCAATTATTAAAAACTTTTATATTGATGTTGCAGTTAGCACAATTTTTAATTTCTACTCCTGAAAGACCAGGAGTGGTATTCACTGCAGAAAATGTTTGTTGCGATTCATTGATACTAACTGTTGATTGATCATTGGAACGGTACGGGCTTTGTGCAGACTGAATTCTCTTTGACAATGCAATTTTACTATGTAAAGAACCTTCAATATAAGATTCAGCAACTAATGATGATTTCCATCCTCCTAATTGTTTAATGCCAATTAGTCCTTCGGCATGATTTGCCAACAATGTAGCTGAACTTTTCCGAAAACTGTGGCCGGTAAATATCGAAGGATTTTCAATTCCTAAAAATTCGGCAATTTTCATTGGGATTTTGCCAATGGTGTTTATTCCCACAGGTGAGTTAGTGCATTTTCCTCTATGATATGTTAACAAAAAACGTTGATTATTTTTTTGCGTAAATTTTTGTATATTTTATTAATCCACTCAAAGTTCAATTGATCGCCGTTTACAGTTTTGTGAACAATTAATGTTACGATGCGATTAAGATCCTAATTTTCTTAACAACATGCTATTTTCTGCTGAAGCCACTTTTTGCCTGAATAGAACAGTACATCGTCACAACTCCAGATATTGGTCATGAAAAAATCCTCACTGGAATCAAGACTCCCACAGTAAACGTCGAGGCAAAATGGATGGTAATAATCGGACGGCGTTCCATAGGGCCTTTCTTTTTTCAAGGAAATCTTAAAGCAGCAAGTTATCTAAATTTCTTCCGAGTAGATTTAATGCCAGCTCTGGCAGTAATTTTTCCAAATGATCACGAGGCAGATGTGCCTCATCAGGATATTTGGTTTCAACAAGATGAGGCGGCTTCTCATTTTGGTGTAGACGTCCGTCAATATCTAAAAGCAACTCTTCATGAAATATGGATAGGGCATCGAGGAGCAATTGAGTGGCCACCACGTTCCCCAGACTTGACTACTTTAGATTTTTTTTCTGTGGGGTTACTTAAAATCCAAGGTTTATTTTAATAGACCTTGTAACGGTCGTTGAGGGGCTAACCAAAAACTCACGTCACAGTTTCTTTTTAATCTTATATTAATTTAGGTTCAACGTTAGATATTTCGTATTATACGGTTACAGACAATACTTAAGGAAAACATAATAATTCGGTTTTCTTTTTAACGGAACGACTACGAAAGACGCGCACCACACCGAGGTCATCTAGCGACTTGTTCTTACTCGCACCATTTTTGAACTGGTTTTCTTCTAATTGTTTATACACATATATAACAGCATATATACAGTGTGTCCCCGGATAGGTGAAACGACTCTTATAAAAGGTAAAATTTTTTCGATATTAATTGTCATCTTTTGGGGTTTAGCCCTGCTTGATTAACGACTAATTTTGAACATATTATCAATTATTAAAAAACAAGTGAGCCTTGACAGTGAAAGAAAAACTCTTTTTGTGGCAGGTAAAGTACCTTTTCTGTTTACAGTACGTGAAAGTGTTACTAAGAAGTTTTGTTCAGAATGAAAAACTATGGGCATATGCAAATTTTCGGATTGATCGGCCTACTTTGAAAAAATCCATATCAAACAATTTTATTTCTAACAAAGACTGCCATGGAAAAACAAAATTGCTTTCCTGTCACTGTTAATCTCTCAAACTGTAATTTAGTAAACTTAAAGTGTTTTTTAAACAGAATGTTAACATTACAGGAAAAAGTTTACGTGATTCAGTGTTATGGAACCGGGAAAAAACCGATTATTGCTTTATTTTGTGAAAAATTTCCAAATACTGCAATTAAAAGAAGTACTTGTTGGCGTTTAATCAAAAGATTTCTTACAGCAGGAAGTATTCACTCTAAGAAAAAAAAATTATGATGAAACTGATTAACTATGATCAACTGTTTTCCTTTGTGGGCGAACACACACTTAATTTCTTGTGAACATTTTCAGAACGGTTTGTTTATTTCTCCCTAATAATCTGAATCTCAAAACAAAAAGTCGTAATAAGGTACTATTGACGAAAATAATAAACAATAGGTTTTATCAAAGTAGGCTGATGAAAATTTGCATATGGCCATAACTTTTCATTCTGAATAAAATTTCTTAGTAACATTTTACCATACTGTAAACAGAAAAGGTACTTTACCTGACACACAAGAAGTTTTAGCTTCAGTATCAACACTCACTTGTTTTTTAAAATTTGAAAATATGTTCAAAATTAGTCTTTAATCAAGCAGGCCTGAACCCCAAAAG